TTTTTTTTTTTTTTTTTTTGCCAGGAAAGATAGAGCTTATGTTAGATAGCTAAATAAAAAGAACAGATACAAGGAGGTAGTAGCAGTAGGCCTGCCGTGCGCCATAGTTACATTGTTACTACATAACACTACTGTGAGAGTCCCATTGGGATCCATACTAGTGTTATCCATCAGTGGATTAAAACTATGTCTAACACTAGTCATTGCTTGTGGTGAAGTTACAGTGGTGGTAGTAGGATAAAGAAGAGAAGCATTGACTAGGCGCTTAGTAGCTATTCCTTGTAGGTCCGCTTGGTACACGTCCAATACAAAAGGTGGTGGCGAATCCAAGAGCAGCATTTTTGTATCTACGAGGGTAGTCTCATATTTTGCTAGTACTAGTAAACATGCATGTTTGAGTAGAGGCTCATGCAGCGTGCTGAACAAGTACCTGCAATCAGTAAGAAGAGGAGAGGGGTTAGAGTGCACGTTTGAAATTAAAGACAGTACAGTTGTAGCGTCTACATTAATTTCCAAAGGACAAAAAATGCATTGGACCGCTAGAAGCTAGATTGCAAAACACACTACTAGAGCCTAACAACCTTTCATTTTTCTTCTACATTTCTTTGATTCTCTTATTAATTCTGAATATTGAAAAATCATCTTAGGGAATTAGTAGAGAACACATTTATTTGTTCGCATGAAAAGCTTTTGTTTCTTATTCATCCCGTTAAATTCAATATTAACCTTATGTTTTATTTTATATGGTACTATTTCTTTATTAATCAGTTTTAAAAAGAACGCCGTCTTTCTACAGTACAAAACAATTTAGCTATGAACATTTTATTTTATCATACATGCTTTTATGCACATGGAAATTTCATGGATATTTAAGACCATACATTCCAAAATTCTCTTTTTAGGTAAATTTTAGTTCATAAAATGACTGCAACAAGTGTCTAATACTTCTTTTTATGTCATGTTGAGAAGAGTTGCTTCAACTATCGTTAAGGTTAATTTGTTACTATAACTTTAAATTGTGAATATTTTAATTTTAATAGTTAAAATAAAACAAACCTACCGGCCACCCTACTATCTTAATGCGAGGTATAGTATAGGGACGACGTGGATGCTTTGCACTTTTGCAGAAAGGAAGACGAAGTTGACAAGCAGTAGTTGTAGTCCATATTTATTTTTGTAGCTAACTCTATTTGTATGGTTCAATTGACCTATGGGCCTGGCCAAATTAAAGTTCCCTTTCTAGCACACTACTCTATCTCTAAAATCCTGTACAATTAAATTACATATGGTCAAGATCTTAATGTGCCGATTTTTTTTTTTTAATTTTGTTTTACAAGGCAGTAAGCTCACTAAGTGAATTAGCTTTTAAATTTAGTTTTTACATATTAATTTTTATATTACCACAACAACAACAACAACAACAAAAAATCCAGTAAAATCTTACAAGTGAAATTTGAGGAGATTAATATGTACGCATATCTTATTCACACCTTATATAGGTAAAGAGGCTATTTCCGAGAAATATAAGCTGCAACGACATCTAAGCAAAATGTCAGAAATTATTAGTGTAGCGACATTTATTTAAAATTATAATAA